TTTAATATTTTTTCAAACTCTTTTAACACTTCACCAGGGCAATACTACTGATAAAGAAACGTTAGAGTTTGTCCCGTTAAGGATGAAGGACCAAGCCCAATAAAATTGGGCCCAAGTTCATGCCCTTGGATCCAGCGTTTCAATCGCAACTGGACCGGATCAGCTCACATCGCACCCTAAAACCCCGAGGCTGAACGAGAAAAGCCGCGTGGCATTTGCTCAGCAGAGAAAAAAATACTCCCAGAAAGAAAGAGAGAGGTGTAGCCCGCATTTTAGCCGATACCTCTCCGTTCCCAACTGGTATTTTTCTTCGCTCCTTGCACGGAACTCCGCGTTCTACTATAAATTTTCCGGTGCTTATTTTATAAGATTAAACTTCATTTCATGTAGAAGTTCTTTTCTTGGTCACAGTTCCTTTGACAATTTTAATCTGGTCCAATCCTTCTGGGGTTTTCATTCTTGTTTTATTTAGCAAGAATATACTGTAAAATTTTTTCTTGAGAATGAAATTTAATTGCTTGAAAAAAAAAGTTAGTTGTAATTGCAAATTTATGACTTGACGTGTTTCTTTTCTTTAGTTATAACCTAAGTGGTTATGTTAGGGTTAAATATGATTCGGGGAGTTTGATGATATCTTAACTATGATTAAATATGTTGGTAATTTCTATAGTCATATCCTAAGTTGTTGTGTTGTGGTTAAGTATGATTCGGAGAATTTGATGATATCTTAACTTTGGATATTGCAGTAGTAAGTATGAAGGTGCGAGCGTCAGTGAAAAAGATGTGTGAATTCTGCAGAACTGTTAAGCGTCGTGGACGTGTGTATGTACTATGCACTTCCAACCCTAAGCATAAGCAACGACAAGGCATTTCCACATTTGCGTCTGAAGGCACATTGCCTCCTACGTATGGCCCTCTCCTTAGTCCTTACATTTGCTTTTGTTTACTTTTGGTGTTTTCATTTGTTTCCTCACTCTTAGTTCCATGCGTTACGGTTTAGGAACCTCAATGGCTTGAACTATTTAAACATGGTTTATTTTCTGAAGTGGGATGCTACTGGTTTGTTTTTTCTCAGTTGTCTTTATATTGTTGCTTATTAGCGAAAGGCACCTTCATTTGATTTAGAAAATAAAAGAGTTGCTTTGATAAAATTACACATGGAACAAATATGCACAATTAGCCTGTTTTTTAAAATATGGGCTGATAAGTTTGTTTTAGTTAGTTTTGAAAAATTATTTTCAATATGATTCCATATTCTTTAATTAGGTATGGAGGCATGCTTTTGCAAGGAATTGTTTTGCCATACAAAAAATTAGTGAAGCTTCTGCACGCTGAGAGGCATGCGTTTCCTTAGCCATCCTGTTCCTAATATTGGCTGAGTGCTATGTGCTAAAATTGCTATTTCGCTGATTTGTGCAATACCTAGGGGAAGTGGCACCATTTTTATTGGAGGAAGAGGATAGGCTAACTATATTTATCTTTGGTACACTTGATCTGGAGCCAATTAGCTTCTTGTCAAGTTGATTGGGGCCTGATATTCAAAGAAATTCTTCCTGGTCACACCCATTGATTTATTGGTGCAATTGGGTTATTTCTGTTTTTTCAGGTTTAGGGTTTTTGTTTCACTAATTCAAGTATCCAACAATAAACCTCAAACTGAACAAGTTATATGATGAAAATAACAATTATAATTATGTTACAAGCAAAATGTTAGTTGATTTTTGTGGTTTTGGATATCTGATTCTCTGTGTAGCGTTACTTAGAGGAAGGTGTTTAAGAATTTCTATTTAAGTATTTCAATCTAATGAAAATAGAACTCCATAACCATAAGGCTTTGTCTTTATCCACTTCTCCATTTCCAAAATTCGATATCATTAATGGAATTGATATGAATTGCTCAATCACTATTTGTCTAAGCTCTTAGGTAATTAATTGTGTAGTCCACGTTTCAATTGGAAGCAATCTTTTCATTGATAATGGTTTTTATTGATATCATTGATGAAGCTGCTTGATAAAAGTCTCTGTAGATCTATGTGGAAGATTTTTGTCTGAATTCTTTTAACTTTGAATCTTTTATATGTTTATAGATTTCAGCCATGCAGACCCACACAATCAGTAGTTATTTATCTAACAAGTTATCTGCTAAGACTTGAATCATGGATTACCTAATTTCAGTACTATCCTTTCTGTTTGAAGAAATAATGGACTTGAATCAAACATGTAATTTACTGAAAATGCCAGGTGAAGGGGAAAAAGGACAAGGAGATACCAGAGAAAAGTTTTGCATTTCTTACCTTCTTTGCATTTAAAAGGATTTCTACTGAAGGTTCTACCAGATTGAATCTTTAATTGCATTGGAGGATTTTGGGTACCGGTTGAATTTGATAACATGCTGATTTGGGCCCCCCATTGTTCAAGCTGATAGTATTGCTTGTTGCTTTGCCTATATAAAGCCCAAACTTTCTGCAGTTAAGAGCTTGTTGCTTCTTATAGATTTAGCTCTGAAATGAATTCTTAATGAATGCCTCAAAAAGTAGTCTGATTGCTAGGAGACCATCTTAAAAGTTGAGAACATGCACCAGTGCATCTATTGCTTTTATGCACCTGATTTAGTGCAATAAAGTGCACCAAAGCTTTTAAAAGCTTTTGGATTCATCTTGATCTTTTAGACAGATATTACCTTACTCTATTTTATGCCTAACCATGATTAGACAGTACATGCTTGCATCTCTGATGTTCTCCCTCAAGTATTGGTATTGATCTGATTTTGTTGTGTTTTACCGGCTGGATGGTTTAATACAATTAGGCATTTGCTAATATCTTAGTCTGTGCAGTATGATTGTTAAAGTGTTGAATCTTTATTGGAAGATTATTGGACCTTTTCAATTAAGCAGTGCTTCTGAGATTTGGCAATATGCTTGTTGAATATTTTCCAGGTCAACTGAAACAAATGTCAAGCATGCAATTGTGCCCAGTCACAGCATGCGGCCAGGACTAGCATCTCTTCTTCCCAAAAGGCAAGAACCTTCATTGATGCTTGGATGGAGGGCTAACCTGGCATCTCTCATATTCAAATCAGGATCTTAAGGGGAACCAAAAAAAGAGATATTACTGTTGTGAACTAGATGTTCAACTGATACTGCTGAATATGGGATTCTCTGAATTTTGTTTTCGGTTGCAATTTATTTAGTGAATAGTGATGGTATATTTGGAACTTTGTTTCATCATGATGCTGTACTTATTGTTGCTGTCCTAAAACATCTGTTGGAACACAGATAGAGTTGAAATGGCAGTGCCTTTGACACTTTGGTGCCTGGGCTTGCATTTATGTTCGCACTGTGGGGTGCATGAAGGTAAGAACCAAGAGCCGCTTTGGATTATGGAGAAATTGGTAAGAGTGTTCCGTAACCGTTTCTTGCAGTAGAGATCTTGGAGCTCTTTTGCTATATTCATCTGTTGAAGGAAAGTTAAAGCTCTAATTTCATGTTTTCTTTCCCCCTTTATTTATTTATTTGGTTTTGGATTTGAGAATGGGGATTGGGAGATAGTTAATGTTAAGGATCTCATATTAATAAGAAATGGGATAAGTTTTGAGTTTATAAATAAGTCTTTTTGCACTTAATGGGCATGTTTTTATGAGTTGAAAACATAAGCTCATGACATCCAAGCCGTAGACTTGGTTTGAGCATGGAAGAAGAAACGCACTTTGATTGAAAGCATTAAGAATAAAGTAATGCTTAAAGCGTTGAGTTTTAAAAGGCGAACCGGAGCCCAAATGATTTCTTCTGGATTCGATGGGCGGCAGCGTTCTGGCGCTCGATTTGACATCAGGCACTTTCTTCATACTCTTGACTCCCATGCTAGGGGTTGCGGGTTTACCAATGGTATCTTTAAAATAAATCAATTATTCTTCGCCTCTTGTTGTCTTTATTCCTTTTTTTCTTTGTTTCGTAGACTTGTTTATTAAATAAATTTAATTTTGATAGTTATTTTTAACAAAATTATAAAGGTATAAAATGTTTAAAAATAAAATTAAAAATAAATAGTTTAACTTTTTATTTTTTAATAATATTTTTAAAAAATAATGGTCAAATCGAATTTGACTAACCAAAAAGAAAAAGACAAACAGAGACAAGTAAAATGGAATAGAAGAAATATTACGTTATTATGGTTATGGGAGATGGTAAAATGGTTTGAATATGAGAACAGGGAGATAGAAATATTATAACAGAATGTTATCATAATACTAACTTATGAGAGAAAGAGTTGATGTCTTCCGCTCATATAATTACTGTTGTCATATTATAGAGAATTTTTAAAGCAATAAGTAGCATAATACAATCCATAACAAGAGATTTTATTATTTTATTTTTGCAAACATGTAGAGATGCATGCATGAGGGTTGTCATGACTTTATAATCAAATGAGTTGATGATACATTCTATGATTTGAGTATGTATTATTAGGAGTTAGGACAATCTGTATCCACAAAACATCAATGATTAATATAAGAAGCTTTGAAGCTTGAGACTTTCACGATCATATGGCATCCAATTTTAATACTAGCAAGTAGTATTACTATTCTTTTTCTTTTTTTATTTTTTAATGTTTTGCCTTTTGCCGGGATAAATATTTAAAGGCATTTTTTAAATTTATTTTTAATTATAGTATTTCAGAATCAGAATCAGTATCTTTATTTTTCTTCTTTCCTTTTTTAGACTAATAATATTTTTTTATATATATTTATATATATATTCTCTTCCATACGTATCACAACGCAGCTTTTGTAAAAGACAGAGAAACATCATTTCACGAATTAAGTAAATAAATAATAATAAAAAGTAAAAACACCAAAACAAGATAACGAAAGGGAAAGCCATAATCGACCTTTACTTTGGATGCGTCTCATCTTTCCTTCATTTGGCAAAACCCAAGGCGCGTGCATTCCAATCCCCTTAAACTCCTCTTTATTAGTTAGAAAAAAACAAACACAGTTCCCCCACTCAGCCAGCGAGCATAATTTACGTTCGCAGCTTTTCACTAATCTCTTTCTTTCTTTAACTGCCCAAGCAAGTTGCAGCAACAACCGCCACCGGCTCCTATAATACTACGCCCACCACTATCCCTAATATTAAATATTGAAAAAAAAAGGGGCACACTTTCAAGTAGCCAATAATTCATTTTCTGATTCCTTTGCTTTCTTTCTTCTTCCTGTTTAGTTGGGTTTTGAAATTTTGATTTAGATTGTGTTGGTGGTGGTGATGATGATTGGTGTTGTTTGATAGTTTCGCCGGAAAAAGAAAAAAACGAACATGGTGACAGTTAATAGTTTGATTAGTACTTGGATCGGTGACCTTCTCGCTTGCATGGGGTAAGTATTTGATTCCTTTCTCTTAATGATTTGATTGTTTCTTTCTTTTTCGATAATTTTTTTGGATTTGTTTTTAGCTGTTCTTTGACTGTAACGCTAAAAGCGCGTTTTAAGGAAAGATAGAGTTGACTTGTTTGACTGTTGAACCCCCATTCCCCTCCCCCTCCCCTTTTTCATACGGCTTAAGAATACGCAGATTGAATGTTTTTCCTCCTTTATTAATTCAAGGGAGACTTATATTTTCAACTAGTGTATAATTGCTTATTAAAAATGGTACTTGTATTTGTTTGCTGATTATAGTAAAGTAGTAATTGTATCATTTTAGCACCGGCTTTGTACTGATCACTAGCAATTTGATAGAATATAAGTTTATCAGGGTCATGACCATGGTTAAAGGGAGGGCCTTTTTTGGGGCAAAACCCAGGGTTTTGAGGAAAAGCTTCAATCAAAAAACATTGATGACTTAGAAGTAGCGAATTCTTAAACATTAGTAAGCAACTACTAAAATTTTTCCTGTATTGGAATCCTCTTGTTTAGGCGCAACCATCGTCACATAGGAATTACATACAATTACATACAACTGCTTGATTAAATAGAACAAAATCATGAGTGAAACTGAATATGCTCGTATAGTTTTCTTGGTTTTACTGTTATCATATTTTTAAGGATGGAGCTTTAGTACCCTAAGAAGATGGTAAGACTAAAGAGACTTTTAGAGGAAAAACGTAGAAAATAGACATAAGCCCTACAGGTTGAGTTGCCTATTATTGAAGCTAGTCATATCTTTCCTCTTCACAAGAAAGCTGTCTCTACTTAGTCAGTTTACGAATCTTTGAAAGGGCCTTAATCTCTTTGGCCAAACGAAAATCTCCTATAGGTGGCAAAGTTCATGTTCTATCAAATCAATCTCCTATTTCTCAAGGGCTACCTTGAGAAAGTACCCCTGCTAAAATAAAGTGCAGTTGCTGCACTACATGGTCTTTTCAAACTGCAATGCATGGCTGCATTCAGCTTCATACATTTACCAAGGGACAAGTTTTATAAACAGTTGGGAAAGGATTCTAGTCCGCCTAGATTGAAAGGGAAAAGATCTATACAAGTGGAATATGAACCTTTTGAACATAGTGTTGCTTAGTGACAAAATTGCAGAATAATCTGTTGTCAACTTTATGCCTCTTTCACTCTCATCTTAAAAGAATGATTAAGAAATCATCAGGCAGAATATAACCCTTGATGTCCCTTATTTTTTCATGCCAAATTATCTTTGAACTCGTTATAGTTCCTTGATGACTTGTTTTCTGAAATTTAAGCATATAATAATTACTAATAAGGTACTATGTGAATTAAGCTAAGTATTTGTTTTATGCCATACCCCTTACTTTTGTATAATTGGACTTGGAAAAAAATCATTATGTTGTGCACTTTGTGTCTGTGGCAAAGTTTCCCTTTTTAGCAGCTAGGAAAACCAATTTAATACTATGTCTTTATGAAAACTACTAGTCTTGCTGCTCAAGCTGCCCAATGGAAGTAGTTTTATTCATTTGTTGTCTTTCCAACTATGATTTCATTTTTCTTGGAGATATAGTTGGCAAATTGCTTCACGATGTCCTTTCCGGAATGTTTCCTTGAAGTTAGAGTGGTCCTATGGTGACATTGTTGATGCACTCTGGGCTGTGTAACTACTGAATTTCAGCGATATATTCCTATTCCTGAAAGATGAAAATGAAGAGGGGAACATGTAGCTTTCCACTGAATTGTTTCGTTGAAACCATTAAAATCTTTTGCGATGGGCTAAGTTCTGCCATAGCTTCTTGGTAGATGTTTTATATCAATTTGTATGGTTTAACTTGGTTTTAAACAGAGCAGTGGTTGTTTTGGGTGCTGCACTAAACCTACACCGATTATTGCTGTGGATGAGCCATCAAAAGGATTGAGAATTCAAGGGCGTATAGTGAGGAAGCCCAGCATTTCAGATGATTTTTGGAGCACCAGCACGTATGATTTGGAAAACAGTGCTATTCAATCTCAAAGAAGCTTGTCGTCGATCAGCACATCAAATCCAACTCTAAGTCAATGCAGTAGCACTGGTGGCATAGCCAACCAGTCTGATTTCGTAAATCAGGGCAAGTTTTATTTTATTATACTCTCTGTCATGTCCACAAAATATAAGAAACCATGGATAATTGAAATTTTAGTAATGATATTATTGTAAATTTTAAGATTCTTAAATTAAATTAGGCAATTATATGTATTGTTACTTGCAGGTTTAATTCTCTGGAACCAGAGCAGACTCCAGTGGATTGGAAGTAGCAGGCCTAGGAATCATACTCAACAAAGTAGGGAGACCAGATTAAGGTGTGTCACTCATTTTTTTGATACTTTGTCTTTCAACTTTGGAAGCAGTCATCCAGGAAATTTATGGAGTGCAGTGCTATCCATCTGCTAAGTAGTTGCCTATTTATTAGACAGTTTCCTTTACCAACACTTTTTTTTGGTCTCAATTTGAGTGACATTCAGTGAGAAAAAAATTCATAATCAAATAATTATCAAGTCTTGCTAGCTTGCACCATTGTCCCTTGTAATCAACCAGGCAATCATATGCTTTGACTGGCATTGTATGCTGGGCCATTTGTTGAAAGATGAAAGTACACTGAATCTAGGTGAACTTTTTTTTTTTTTGAAAAGCATTCATGAACTTTCATTGATAATCAGGAATGAAGCATTCTTTTCCAGGGAAATATCAACAAAGCACATTCAGAAATCAGAAAATATTGGAAGATGTACCCCTAATAGATGCTAGTGTATTTTTCCAATATTCCCTCATAAGACTTCCCTCATTCGAATACGCAAAATTTACTACCTATCTTTGCAACAAAAATCAAAAGAGGATTGCCCACTAAACTATACAATTCCTTGAGGCATCAACCAGCGGAACCAATGCTATCTGAGGGCCATTCAAACATCCCCTGAACCCAATTTCCAGTGAACAAAAGACTCAAACACAAAGCAAACTTTACACTTGGTGATCCCTTCAGCAGAGACCTCCACATCCCATAGCTCAGCAAAACATCAACAAGTTCACTTCCAGCATTAATTAGAAACAGAAATAAGCAAAAACTGACTTACTAGAAAAGATGTAGAATATCAGACTGAAGCCGCACCCCTTCCTTTGCCAGATTATCTGCTCTTTCATTTGCTTCCTGCATGACATGTCTTATCGTCCAACCATTCAGATTTTCCTTCATCCTTTCAATTTGAATTAACCACTTCCTCAGTCTCCACTGGGTAAATTGTGTCCATTGGGCAATTTAGGTGTTATTAAGTTTTACTTCTTCAGAGTACCTAAAGCAAGCTTGATTGTTTATAGGCATTCTAGAGAATGGAAACTGAGAGAGGCTAGCCCAACTTATGTTGGACATGACAGCTTCGTTATGACTACGTTCCCCCATTCCATTCCAGATTGTACTTGAAAAAACCATAGCTGTGTGGGCAAAAGCCTTTTGCATGATGAATCTGGTCATGGGTATATATGCACAGCACAACAAGAGTGGTAAAGTTTTATGCAATGAACACATAAGGTAAAGAGTAAATGTGTTGAGGTAAGAAGAAACCTCAAAGAAGCGGGCGCAAGGCCTTATAGAAAATGAAAAGTAATTTTGTATTAGCTTGTATTCATTCGTACTTATGCTTAATTTCCCCTAACTTTACACATTGTTACAGTTGGAATGCAACATATGAAAGTTTACTTGGGACCAGGAATCCATTTCCCGGGCCCATTCCTCTTTCTGTAAGTCAACTTTGCATGTTGGTTTCTTTTGCCCTGCATTCATATTTACTTTTGCTGTCTCCTAATTCTGAGTTTGTGACTTAATTGGCAGGAAATGATTGATTTTCTGGTGGAAGTATGGGAGCAGGAGGGATTGTATGATTGGAGTTAATGTCAGAGAAAAAAAACGTTTTGTTTTTTTCACATATTAACAATTGTTCATCTTTGTAGTTTTGAACATTTAAGTGAAGTTGTATATAGTTGTGGGGGAAGGGAGAAAACAAAAGGAACAAGATACAGTATCTTTTTCATTGTATAATTTTAAAATCCACAGCCCACACGATTCTCTTCTTTCCTTTTTTATCTTTTTCCTCCCCCTGTGTTTCATTTTCCTCTTCCTTGCCATGTTAAAGCTTTGTTGAACCTCTTGCATTACGATTTGAAGTGAATAAAGAAGCAAATGTTTGGCATATCCGTATGCAGGGAAAAGTAAACGTAACGTAACAATGTTAAAAACGTGGTTATGGATTCAATAAATCGGGTGAAAATTCTGGAAGAACCTGTAACAATCTCAATTCACCAATTTAGAAAACAGAGTTGGAAACTGATACGCAAGCATGTTTTGTTAAGAAAACAAAACAATCTACAATTGTCGAGTTAGAAGATCTTAGATGCGTCTTGTTTCAACGTAGGGAAGTTGAACTCACTCAGGGCCAATACGAAGAGATGGTAGTTGGATTGGTTTTGTATTTGATTCAGTAGACAAAAAGAAGAGAAATACTAGATTGGCCCTGTGTCTCCGAATATGAAGCTAGGTACAGAAGCGTCATTAATAACTCGATGTTCCAATTCTGTTCTGTGAAGCAAAAGATGAGGCGGTGCCGCTGCCGAATCAGTCACCCGGCTGACGATGCATATAAGCATTTCAGCACACCATCCCGCGTGTCTCCCTACGAGTCAGACGACAACGCCTGCCATCTTCTTTCAACTTGGAATATTACTACCATTCACGATTCCAAAAGGTACAGCTTCACCTAATGAATCTTGAGTTGTTCATCATATAGAATTCACATTTCATTGTGACCACAATTTATCAAAACCACAAATGCACGCATGCAAGGAAATGACATCTGAATCCTGAGAATTCATCACAACACTCACGACAACAGTCATCGTGCATTGTTTTATCTTCTCCTCATCTATCCTTTCTTCCAAAGGAATGATATGCTTTCGGCTCATTTGGATATATTTATGCGTTCATTCATTTGTTTATACCTGCCGCTTTCTTCTTATTCGCTTAAACAACATGACAAAAAGAGTTACATACATTGTACGACTACCACCTTGCTTTTAAATCTGTATTAGCATTGATTTTTAGGATATATTATATATATAATATAAATAAATAATGGTAGATAAGAATAGATAGATGTGGATGAAATGCAAGGGAGGAATTTTCAAAAGTTCCAACTTTAGAGGTGCATGAACACAAAAGGTAAACATCAGAAGAACGATGACCTGGTACCCAACTTTCCGCTGTACTTGGCAAGGACAGCAAGCTCTCAAATCCTCATCACCACAAAAGGGTCATTCTCTAATTTTAGAAGCACTTCAATGTTCTTTGCCCTCTACCATTGTTCTCATCTTTTTCCCTCTCATGACACTAGCATTTATTCTTACCTACATTGCACATCAATTATTCAATATTATTAATATTAAGAATAATTTTTGTTAATTTATGAAAGTCTGGAATAATCTTAATAATCTTTATGATAAAAAAATATTTTAAATGAAAGTTATTGGCTAGAATTAATTTTTTATTTATAAATTGGATGAATTAAGGAAATATACTTTTTAATGAAAGCCATTCAATGAAATTAAAATTTTATTTTACCAATTAAATAAAATTTATAAACATTCATAATAAAAAATTATATAAAATGGCCATTTTAAAATATAATGAATGATTAGTCATTTCAAAAGTTCTTTAGCAAATTTTTTTATTGGCGCAAATGATCATATTGTATATTTCTACAATATATTTATAAAAATCACCATTTTAAATATTTTTATTATTTATCTTAATAAGATTTATCTAGTCTATAAATAAGAATTGTAGTTGCATTAGATGATTTTAATTAGAAATATTTTTAATTATAAAATTTTTAAATTTTATCTTATTTGTAAATAAAAATTTTAATTTCATAAAATGATTTTCATTAAAAAATGTTTTATACGTGGTGATAGAGTTATTAGAGGTTAATACATATTTTATTATGATATATTTATAAAAATTAATAAATAAATTCATTGTTAAATAGATATATGACAATCACCTAAATCTTTCTTGTGTTATTTAAAAAGTCTATTGTTAATGTATTTGTAATATAATATTAATGATAAACTTCACCTATATTTCTTGTGATTTCAGCTTTTCTCACATAATATCTCTTGATTTTTTTTTATATTTTCAATTAAAACCATGTGGATATCTTCTGTCCAATTAGCACCATCTAAAAAACTTCTATTCTCACCAAAAATCATATTGTTAATTTTTTAATAAAATTACTAAAATGTCTTAATTCAAAGTTAATCTATTTATTCCCGCTTAAAAGTATTTTTGTAATTTTATTAAGCCAAATCAACAATAATCTTTTGTGGAATAAAAAATTGCCCGAAATGGGTTAATTACAAAAAAAAAATTCATAGAATATTAATTGCAAACTAAAATCACATGGTGCCGTGTGAAAAACAAATTGAAATCACTAAGGTGTGCGTTTGGTACATTACAATGCAATGTGATTACAGGTAATGTGAGTGCAAATAAGTGATTGCAAGCAATGTGGTGTTACAGGGAAATAACATTACAGTGTTTGGTATGTAGTAAATAATGATTAAATGTAGGGAAGATACATTGCAGTGTTTGGTTTACAAGTACTTTAGTGGGAATGTTGCTAATTGCAAAATTACCCCTAATTATTAAAATATAAGTTTAATATATTTATATTTTTTTATTAATTTTTATATAATATCATTTTAAATATATGTTAATATCATATATTTTATATTATGTATAATATTTTTTTATTTTTAATATATTTATATTTTTTATTAATTTTATATAATATCATTTCTTAAATATATTTTATATCATTATATTTATTTTTTATTTATTAATTATAATATTTTATATTTTATTTATTATTATGTATATTTATGATATTAAATTTTTATATAATATCATATTTTTAATATATTTTTAATGTCATTATTTTTTTTTATTATATTATTATATTTTATATGTTATTTTAATATATTTATATTTTATTATTAATTTTATATAATATCATATTTTAAATATATTTTTAATGTCATATGATTTTGATTGTTTTATTATGTATGTATGTGATGATTGTTGATATTTTATTGTGTGTAATATGATTTTATATGTGTATATTATTGAATGTTTGTAATATAATATCATATTTGTAAATATATTTGTAATGTGCTGATATTTGTATGTTTATTGTTATATGTAATGTTGTGATAAGTTTTTTGTTTCATTTCTGTGTAATATGATGTGTTGTGATATGTTATATGTATGATGATTATTGGTGTTGATGCTGATATGTATATGAAATGATTAATTTGTTGATTTGTATTGTTATGTTTATGTGTTGTGATGTCTTGATGATGAGTATATTTTATGTTTAATTATAATATTATAAAAATAGTTTTAATAAGATGAATGAAAGTTGAGAGGGTAAAAATTATCTTTAAAAATTGCAGAGTGGCAATGTAATGTGATGTACATTGGTTTTGGACTGTAATCACATTACATCCATTGGCTGCAATGGTAGATTGCATTGCAATCTTACATTACAGTGATTTGTTACAAAACAAACACTACAATGTAATTTAATAAGCCATATTGCAGGAAATGTGGCTTACATCCCTGATACCAAACGCCACCTAAAAGTTGAGGTGTAATTTACTCTAAAATAAAGTGTTCATAGGAGAGAAGTCAAGTCTTAAAAATTTTGAGGAGGCCACAATTTGGTGTAACTACTAATCAGCCAGCCTATAGTGTAGATTTCATAAATCTTGAATGTGACCCCAGTAGGATACATCAAGCTTAGGCCACAAGTGACGGAAGAGAATTCGAGAAAAATATTTGGAGGACAAAGATTATCTTTGAAAAAATCAAGCCCTCCATGAGGGAAATCCTTTTGCATGATCTTCTTGTACAAGATAATATTGGATATATGCATGCACATTAGACATTCCTGTATACAATGAACATTTCAAAACCCCAAAAATTAATTAAAAACGACACGTTCAAAATAAAACAAACTAAAACAACAATATTTTTACATCTCAAAGGATATTGGGATTGCATGAATATGTGTGTCTTCAACAGATTCATTTGACCGAACCCATGCCGTGTCACATGCTTCGGATATTTGGTTGGGAATTGGGATATGATTACTTAGAGCCCTACACCTAATTATTTGTAGCACTAATATTGTGTGCATGTCAACACAGATACATGCCTTTCTACCCAACGCAAAACAAAAAAAAAAAAAAACAGGTAAAAACCGTGTCTACTTTACCATTAAGCATTACTTAATTGCAAATGCAATGTTTTTATTGGGTTTGGTATGAAAGGGAAAGGCTATAAATTAATTGGTAAGAAGAAGCAACATTTTTTATAAAAAAAAAAAAACACCTAAATGTAAAAGTAAGGAAATACAATTGTTAATGTCTACAAATTTAAACTTCTAAACTTAAGGATCCCATCTTCCACGAAGCCAATCAAGATAATACTTGATTTATATTCTTCCCACTTGGCAACTAACTCACGCCCCCTGCTCCATAGAAAGCCAGATGGATTTGGCTTAATTCCTAGTACCAGGCCAGTCGTCTTCTTTCCTCCCAATTTCTTTTTCAAAAATTGCGTGTTCTTCCATCTTTACTTTTTCTTGAAGGAATCTTTCTCAAGTGCCTAAGCCTCTAGTATTTATCGGTTAAAATAACTCGTACATTTTGGATGTACATGCACTAATTGATGCGTATAAAATAGCATTTTGCACAACTAGACTGAAAATCCTCGATGGGAATGATTATTTATATAGTCCTTGAATCATCTCAGCACGCCATGGTAGACACCATTGATCCACTGAAAATATTTTTGATTAGCTCACTTTTGAGGATGAAATGAGCTGGCATGATTCGCTCTGACGTTTAGATAGTATTAGAGATAAAAGCAATGACTGACAGCCACTTGCTAATGCTGTCAAAATAAAATCATTAAGGCTTTCTGAGCCAACAAGATGGGTGGTACTGGCAATTGGAA